TTATGAATATCTATATGTCTAAGGTAATTGTAGTTAGCACTTATTGTTACTATGTTCCAGCCACCCTCTCTTACCATCTTTTAAATAATTTGTTGAGGGTCTTTTCATATGTATTAATTATTATTTATAAGTACAAAGACAAATATCAGAAACATTGTCAAACTTGCCCAAGGTCAAACAGCTGCTAAGCAAGAGAATCAGATTTTTAATGCAGTTCTCCTTAACTATAGAAATATCTGCTAAAACCAACAGTGAGTCACACAAACTAAACAGAATGAGTACACCAGTTATGTTTTCTTGAAAGTAGGTTACACTATTCCCAAATTATAGAATAACTAATTATCAAGCAAGCCTTCACTTATAACAAATCAGGGGTAACTGAAAAGATATAAAAATAATAATTCACCTTGTTCATTATCAGAGGAGGGGCTGTGCCTCTAACAGAGTTACAGGGTGACCTGGAGTGACAAATTCACATATGGAAAGGCATATGTTTCCAACGACTGGAATTGCACTTTTCCAGTCACGTATATTACCACCTTCCTACTTTTGTCTACCAAAGAATCCTCAGATCAAAAGAAGATTTCGCATACTTTACATGAGTCTGCATTATTTTTAAATGTTACTATTTTTACAGTGGAAGGATACACATTAAGTTTGGGCTTATGTAAATTAGGCTGGATGAAAAAAACTAATTAGGAATGAAAATTTAATCTCAAACTCTTCATGCCGCTAACACTTCCTGTCCCTTGTAGAACAACCACAAATAGCAAGAAGGAAATTAGAGCAATACTCGTGTCCTATCTGTTCATGAATCACCTGTTCTGTCCAAGCAGCAATTCTGATCAGCTGCCAGCACCAGAAACTGCTCCAGACTCTACTAACATGTGTAAAATGCATACTTGTGGGTTTTGAAGTTAAAATTTACATATCTTAAGGTTATGATATTTATATTTACAGCACGAACAGTTTTGGAAAACCATAGAAAATTAGCCTGAATTGCTTGAGAAGCAGAACCATTTGCCACACTGAGGCTGATATTCCTTGCACTTTGGTTTTAGGAGCCCCACCCCCACCCCCTGACAGACACATTCGTGGGCACACACATATTCGATTTCACCCTAGGCAGTTTCTGAAGTGCAGCAGACCAAGTTGAAATGCTCAGTGGATGCTGACCTGGTGATAGGTCTACAGCTTCTGGGTCTCCACAGAAACCGGGTTTGGAAATCCTTAGTCTAAAATCAAAATTTTTTTTTACCTTACAGTCCAGAATCCCTCAGTGGTTAATAAACTTTGGAGGTTAATAAACCTTTTCTGCATGGGGATAGAAAATAAAAGTGTTAGGCTTGGCAAGCCATGCAGTCTCTGTTACTATTATTCATACACTTTTGATAATTAATTCATTTTAAATTGGAACTTGGCCATATTCCAATCATAATCTATGGACAGTAGAACTTGAAGTTTATATAATATGCCCTATAATATTATTCTTTTGATTTTTTCAGCCCTTAAAGTATAAAATTCATTCTTAACTCATAGGCTATGAAAAAGTAGATGCTGGAATGAACTGGGACACTCACCTTTGATAGGCCCAGCACTTGTATAATTAGAATACCTGGACTTGGAGCTTGATGGTCAGAGCTTTTTAGATACTCTGAGAGCATTCTAACCTGTAACCAAGTCACTGCTTTTCTGCTTTAATGGGCCATGAAATAAATTCACTGGATTATCACAGGCATTAAAAAGTGAGGTGCACAAAATAGAAAACATCAAAGTGCGTCACACATTGTAAGGACAAGTATTGTGCCATGGAATTTTGTTTTATGTGTGCTTATGTGCAGCGTGCATGTGGAGTGAGTTGCAGCACACAGACACTGTCTCAATAAAACTCAGTCATATTTTAAGATCAAAGGGCCCAGCTGTACCCTACCTGAATACCTGGCTGTCAGAGGGACCAAGGGACCAATAGTCAAAGATTCGCCTAGTTTTTAATCCATCAAAGGACACTATCAAAAGCAAAATGACAACCCCTATAGAATAGAATAAAACATTTGTGTATTGTATATCTGATAAGAGACTACTGATAACACAATCTGTGTTTCAACAACATAAAGATTTTTTTTAACGGGCAACGATTTGATTGAACACTTCTCAGATATATGCAAAATACAAATGGCTGACAACCACATAAAACCATATCATTAGTCATTAGAGTTATGTAAGTAAAAGCCACAATGAAACTCCATGTCATGGTAGGAAGGTAATATAGAATCTTCAGATTATAATCATTCGACCTCTAATTTTTCAAGCTTATGATAGTGTAAAACCGCACTCAAAAATGCCATTCTAGATTTTTTACTTTTAGTACAGTACTTAATAAATTACATAGATACTGAATATTGTAGTAACTTGTAAAATAGGCTTTGTGTTAGATTATTTTGCCCAAGTATAGACTAATGTAAGTGTTCCAAGCATTTTTAAGGTAGGCTAGGGTAAGCTATGATGTTTGGTAGGTTAGGAGTATTAGATACATTTTTAATTTACCATCCTTCCAGTTTACAATACATTTATTGGGGCTATAAGTTAAGGAACTCCCTCAGGGACATTGTAAATCGGAGAATACTGTGATTTAGAAAAGAAAAAACTACAACTATTGGCAATGATTTGGAGAAATTGGAACCCTCCTACACTACTGGTGGGATGCAAAATACTGTAGCTACTGTAGAAAATAGTGGTTCTTCCATGACCTAAATGTAAAATTACTGTAACTCAAGAATTCTGTTTCCAGGAACATACTTAGGAGTACTGAAAATGGGCGTTCAAATTGAAGTAGTTAAAAACATTAGGGTAGCACAATTTACAAGAACCCCAAGTCAGAAACAACTTGAATTTCCTTCAAATTATAAATGGAGAAGCAAATTTGGTATATCTATACTGGAATAATATTCAGGAATAGAAATGAATGAGTACTACAGGCTACAACACGGGTGAGCCTTTGTCACACTGTCCCAAGTGGAAGAAGCCACATACTGTACAATTCTATTTACGTGAATTGTGAAAACTAGGCCACTCCATAGAAATATGAAGTAAACTAGTGATTGTTAAGGACTGATGAGTAGGTACTCATAACGGCTATAGGGCTTCCTTTCAGAGTAATGAAGAGATTCTTCAGCAAGATAGTAGTAATGAATGCACAACATTGTGAGTGCATTGAGGCCCCTTAAAACTGGTTAAAACAGTAAACATAATCATGTGTATTTCATTTTAATGAAAAATTAAATAAATGTAAGGAATATAGAGCAGCGTCTGGTACAAAGTAAGCGCTTCACCATTGTTGGATATTAGTCAAAACCTAACTATACTAGAAACCAACTTATTGCGTAGAAATCTCGAGATGAATCTCTATGGTCTCAGTTCCTCTCCATTCATGTGCTGAAGCTCAGGGAACAATGCAGTGGCATTAAGAGGCAGGGCCTTCAGGAGCTGACTAAGTCACTGGGTGAAGATGTGGGTTCTACAGTAAAGCCATGTATGTCTGTATGCCAGGCTCATTGCTCACTGGTTCTATGGCCTTAGGCAAATTTGCAAAAGTTTCTGAAGCTTTGTTGTGTTTTATTTTTATATCTCTGTACTGAGGACAAAGTCTACTCCACAGAGCTGTCATCAAGACAAAATAAAATGATCCATGTAAAATGCTTAGCATGGTGCCTGTTACACAAAATATTGAGTAATAACTACAGATGCCTGCAAATATTCATAACACATATGTGAAACAAAAACATAAACTCATTGAAGCAAAGACAATAGAAGTCAAAACATCTCTTCTTTTTAATGTGGGTTTTGTAAAGTAAGGAACTCATTTTCTCTATGACCAGATGTATTTGTTTTTTCTTTGTATTTTGGATGCATGGTACTAAAGCAGTTGTAGGAAAACGTGGAAGATTGGCAATTGCTACATGAATGGAAACCGTCAAGGAATATTAACGAGGCTGATGGTACAAATGACCTGCTTAAAACAGGTCTTATTTTCAAATTGAACTGGAAGAAATCCAGGGAGGCAAAATTCCTTTCACTCGATTTCCTCACATACCTACTACTGAGTATCTAAACTTTTCTTCCTGTGTCAAGCGAGTTTATTTTTCTTGTTCTATTAATTGCGAAATATCCGCTTCACAGGATTACACACACCACGGAGAGAAACTCAGATCAGCTTTGGAGGCTCACAGCACGTAGCTGATTTTGAGTTTTATCTAAAACATCAAGGGATGCAGGCTGTGAACGAAATGAGGGCTCAGGGCAGCCCAGAGCTCCATGTGCACTCTGGACCTTTGCGTGGGGTGAGAGTGGTACAAGGGGACCGATGGAGGGACACGCAATGTTCTATAATTTGCTGGCTTCCACCACGCTGGGCGTCCCTCAGTGCTGAGCCGGAATACAGCCTTATTCCTGGAAAGAGACTGGCGTCTTGGGGCAGTACGGTGTCACAAGGCCCTAGCTGTGGCCCCTCTTTCGGTATTCTTAGCTACTAGAGGTAACTAAGAACAGGAATGAGTCCTTGTACCTCGATAGAAGCAAGCCCCATACAAAACTGGAAATGAGGAAACTATGGACAATAGGTATCTCTGCTTTACTCTCTCTTCTTTCTCTGTGGGTTCCCCAAAGCAGTTCCAGCAATCAGCCATGACCAGGTAGAGTAATGACAATTACAATGAAACGAAGCACCCACAAAATCAGGGTTTGTGTCTTTCCCTTTGCCTTTCGAATCGTTTTAAACTTTTGGTCAATACATTATCAGAGTCTCTTTGTACAAAATTTAGAAAGTATCAAAAAAATGTTATCAACCATTCCATCACCCAGAATAATCACAAGCGTGTTTTTTTCCCCATATTTTAGATGTTTAGTTTACTTACCACAGAAAACTGCACAGATAAGTACTTGTTGAAGTCATGGTTATTAAAACAGTGGCTAGAAATTTATTATGTAAAAGTTAGGGTTCCTACCTTCTGTTAATGATTCTGGAGTTTCTGCTGAAGAAGGTGCAGGTGAAGTTGCAAGGATGCAAGGTGATGTAAAAATATAAGCTGTAAAGATAATGTGGGAAACTTACATTAAAACATGTTTCCTACAATCTGCACAATAGGAAAAAATATTTGACAACTACTTATCCGACAGAGGATTAATACTCAAAATATGAGGAACTCAACAACATAAAAAATAAGTAATTCAATTAAAAATGAGCAAATAATCCGAGTAGACACTGAAAGTAAGAAAAGAGAAAGAAAGAAAGAAAGAAAGAAAGAAAGAAAGAAAGAAAGAAAGAAAGAAAGAAAGAAAGAAAGAAAGAAAGAAAGAAAAGAAAGAAAAAGAAATCCAGCCAGGAACAGCGGCACGTGCCTGTAAAACACTACAGGAAGCTAAGTTAGGAGGATCGCATGTTTGAACCCAGCATGGGCAATTATTTGCTTAGCAGAAAATTCTCTCAAAATTAAAATAATAACAAAACAATAATAATATTAATAATAATAATAATTAAAGGACTATGGATATACATAGGTGTGGAGGCTCTGTGTTCAGTCCCTAATACTACACACACACACACACACACACACAACAAATGGTCAAACAATATATGAAAAAAATGCTCGATATGACTAGCTACCAGAGAAACACAAATGAAAAACTACAATGAATTTCCATTTCACCCTAGTTAGAGTGATTATTACTTTTTTTCTTTAAAAAGCAACAAATATGGTTAAGGATGTAGAGGAAAAAGTAACTTGAAAACTGACCATATACCTACCATCACCCTCACTGATGACTACTAGGTCAGGGGTACTGAGCCCACACTTATATTCCCAGCTCTCTGGGAGACAGAAGCAAGGGGTGTGCAAGTTTAATTCCTCGCTGGGCAACTTAGGGAGACCCTGTCGCAAAATGTAATTTAATAAATCGAGATGGGCTGGGAACAAAGGTCCGTGGCAGAGTAGTTCTTAGCTTGACACTTAGCACTACACACACACACACACACACACACACACTCTCCTCTGTTTCATTTAGAAATTAATCTTCTCTCAAATCACACCAAGCCACAAATATATTTGTCACATTTGATGAAATTCCTTTCATTCCAGCTATGCTTAGAATCCAAGCAAACTTCTCACACTGGAAAATAGTGATTCTACCACCAGGACCGGGCTCTCTTGTGCAATACTCCCATTACTGTCCAAGTTCCAATAAAGACCAGCTACCAGATTAGAATCTAAGATACTGTTCATTTATTTACTCATTCAAATAAGTTTGAAAATGGGGGTTGTTTGTATTTTAGGCTATGTTCCAGTATCCTCCAGGCAAAGAAAAGCATCTAACTAAAATGTAATAACATTAAGCTAACAAATTCACTCACCTGACAATAGCACTGCGATTGTGATTTTCTCATACATTCTGGGATCTCCAGCTGGCTTACAGAGCGCAAGAGGACTACTGAGGAGGACAGAGGGCATCAGTCTCATGCTGATATCTTCCTGGCCCACCTTCCAGAGGCTGCTATCATGTGGTAGGCATTGGGCAGCATCTTATAATAATTCAAAGTCAGAACATGTTTGTCACTAAAGATACATGGCTATCTGCTTAACACCGACCGTGGGAGTGGCTACTTCAAGGGACTGCTTCATGTTACATTTTCTCAGCATAAATGCAAGGAGACGACTGCTTCTCTTTAATTTACTTTCCATAAATTTAATGGGCAAGGCCAGGCAGTAGACAAAAGCTGACTAATTTGGCAAAAGAATCAAACTGTGTAGGCCTAAGGTCAGCGACATCTAGGCTGTTGTAGAGCTACGAACTTTCTCGTTTCTGAGAAGACCTCTGATATGGAAAGGTGCTCATGGAACAAGATGAAGATTATGTTTTATTTCCAGGGTCTAACTATTTTCAGGCTGACTATGTAGCTCAGATCGGCCTCCATCTCAGGGACCCTCCCACCTTAGCCTCCAGAGTGTGGGAATCACAGGTGTGCACCGCCACACCCTGCTGAAAGTGACTTCTTACATGTGCAGTCAACATATTGGAGAACTTCAATGAGTGCTTGAGCCTTCTGGGGTTTGAAAAGATTCAAACTAATGACAAGTGCAATAGCAATAAAAGAGACACATGCAAGTTCACTAAAAAATGACTTTGAACAGAGCAGCCAGTGGTCATGCCCAGTGGAGCCAGTGAGTGGGTTCTCTCCAAAATATTATGCTTTATTATGCTGTCATGAGTTATTAACCAAGACAATAAATACAAGCACTCTAAAATAAGCACACAAACTCCACACCATCCTGGAAAGCAGGTTAAAGGCAGAGGTGAGGAACAGCCACCTCTACGAGCACAGGACACAGAAAAGCAAAGGATGTTTTGCTCAAGGCCACTGGAAGGTTAATACAGGTTCCCATCTTCCTTGCAGGGACAGGTTGATATTTCCTGTCTTGATTAAAGGGCAGCAAAAACCTTGTGCTGTGCGTGCTCCGTGTGAGAATTCAGACTTCTCAGCTCACACAGGTTGTGAGAGAGCTGTATGGTGCCCTCTCGTGGCAGATCAGTATAATAGGACGAAAATGTGTGCCTTGAAAATACAAGACACACACACAAATACACACACACGCACACACACACGTAAAAATATCTTTCTCCAGCCTTCTTTACATTCTTGTTAAAACATATGTTCAGGAGTGTTATAAAGTCTCACCTATGAGATAAATGTGTTCGACAGATCATATATCTTTTGAGAATTTAGAATCTGTGCCTAAAGCAATACTTTTGAATCACTTAATCAAATATAATAACATCATCCCAATTTCCTTATATTATATGTCTTGGAACAATTTTCATGAGTCATAGCTGTAATATAGTCAAGGAGAAAGATGAAATTTGATATTGGAAGACAGGAAAACCAATTTGGACTAACGAATACAGACTGACACCTTTCCTGCTTCGTGACGGGGAAACAGACAATTATTTTTGCCAGTCACCTCTCTCCCAACACTTTCAGGCACAGATTACTTCTGAAAGTGGTTGCGTGCTAGTCTGACCTGCTACTGGAAAGTCTGCTTTTCATGTTTTGCATGGAGGATCCAGGAAAATAGAAGAGGGAGAGAAGATTAAATAACGCTGATTTACATTGCTTGCCTCCTTGGTTACTTGTCATCTTAGGAATTTTTCCAGGGCAATCGAACCTCTTTCCTTGACCATCTTGGTTAGATTATCACTTCACAGATTAAAGAAACAGGGAACATCAGAATAAATGAATTTGCCGCTCAACCTTGTTAGCAAGGTGGAACCCGTATTATGGTGAGGAGAGATTGCAAATGTATTCCTTGATTCGATTTGACCCCAAGTGCCTTTTAGGCAAATTAATTTAGTTGTCTATTTGAAAGGAAGTATATTTTAATTAAAAGTCAGAAGGAAATTGTGACCATTAAATGTTTGAAAAACTTGACAGTGAAGTTATTCATGCCTGGTGTTTTATTTGTAAGAAAGGTTTTAATTACCTTAAATTATGAATATAATTACATTGTGTGTGTGTGTGTGTGTGTGTAATAGATTCTTGCTATATAAGCCAGGCTCGCCTCAAATTTGCATTCTCCTGCCTCAGCCTTCTGAGTGCTGAGATTACAGACATGCTCCACCACATGAAGCATGGATCCAGTGTTCATTAATGGACCAAGTACATTTCTTCTTAGTTCTTCTTGTATTAATTTTGATGAGTTTTCAATTTTATCTGGCTTGTCAAATTTAAGGTTTATTAAATTTCTAGGCACATCTTATTTTCATTTCCAATTTTGCAATTGATACTTTATGTCAAGTTTACTTGACAATTCTTAGTATTTTTGAAGAATGAACTCTGGATTTTATTGCTTTTCTCTATTGTACATCTGCTTTTTATTTGAAGTATCTTTGTCTTATCTTATTTCATTCTACATTCTATAGAGGTAATTTGGTGTCCTTTAATTCTGACTTGCTAAAATGGACACTTAGGTCATAAATTTGTGTCCTTTCTTCTCTACTAATATGAGATAAAAATCTATATTTTCACTAATTAATGTTTAGCTGCATATGACACATTTTATTGTGCTATAGTTTCATTATAATTTGATAATTGATTGATTGATTGATTTTTTGGTACCAGGGATGAAACTCAGGCTTAGCACCATTGAGCCACATTCCTGGCCCTATAATTTAATTTTAAACGCTTTCTTATTTTTCTGTTTTTTTGACTCATGGATTATTTAGAAGTGCACTGTTTATTATAGATAGATGGAGATTTTTATTGCTTTTTTTTTGCTACTGGTTTCTAATTGAGTTCCTCAACTGTCCAGGAGCGTCCTCTGTATTGTTTTAACCCATTATATTTGTAGGAGGTATGCTTTGTACTCTAGCATGTGGTTTATTTGACAAATACTCTATGTATAGTTTAAAGTGATATATGTTTTACAGTTTGTTGGCTATGATGTTTTTTATAGATCAGTTAGTTCAACCTAATTATTCATATTTTATTAACATTTCATCTGCTTTATCAGTCTTTGAAAGAGATGTAAGAAATACCCTATTGTGAATTTGTGTCTTACTACTCCTTAATTTTTTCTTTAATACATTTTATATTATTAAGTAAGTGTGCATTTAGGATTTTTATGGTGTCATGCTAATTTGTCTTTTTCATATTTTATGAAACATTGCTCTTTGGCACTAACAGCACTTCTTATATTAGACTCACTTTCATGTGATATTAATTTAGCCAGACCAGCTTATTTTTATTTAATATTTATATGTGATGCCTTTTTTCATTATTTTACTTTAAATCTGTGTCCTGAAATCTAGGATATGTCTCTTATAAACAATATAAAGTTGGCCTTTTGTTTTAGTCTGTCAAATTTTGTCTTTTAATTGTAGTATTTAGTCTAAATTTAATTAATTCATTTTGTTTTTGTATTAAATCTTCCCATTCTAGCTATGTGTTTTGCATTCATTCTTCTGTTCTCTGTTTTCTTTTATGACATTTTTCTTTTGATGGTACAATCACATATTTTAGTCTGATTTACTGCAGCTTTCCTTATATTAGTTTTATCAATTCCTCTTTCAGTTTTTATTTTTTATTTGTACATGTTTGCAGTATACAATAGTCGCATTCTTTGTGGGGAGTTGGTATGTGTATACAGTACATCTCCATTCTCTTTACATTCCCTTCCCCTTTCTTTCCTCTTTCTCCCTCTATGTCTTGGTCCCTTCTTCTTTGCAAAAAAAATCTATCTTCCTACTTCCTAGTTTCTATTTTATTTTTCACTTTATTTATCTTTTGGGTTTATTAAATAAAAGATCTATGCAATGTTAAAGCTTATGTGCATGATTTATTTCACTTAACATTATGATTTCAATTTGTATCCATTTTCCTACAGATGACTCAAGTTTGTCCTTCTTTATGGCAGAGTAGTGCTCTATTTTATATAAATGTCGTATTTTCTTTATCTGTTGATGGACAGATAGGTCATTTCCAAGATTAAGCTATTATGAATTGTGCTGCTATCCATATAGGTATCACTGTATATGATGCCTTTAATTCTTTTGGAAGACACCTGGGTTAAATGGAATTTCTATATTTTTAGGAATTTCCGCACTTTTCCATAATTGTTTTTCTTATTTACATTGTTTACACCAACAGTGTAGAAAGGTTCTTATCTCCCCAAAGCTTCACCAGTATTTGTTATTATTTGATTTTTTTATTACAGCCATTCTTTCTTGAGTAAAATGAAATCTCAGTGTTGTTTTAATGTGCAATTCTCTAATGGACAGAGATGCTGAACATTTTCTTATGTGTTTATTGTCAGATTGAATGTCTATGAAGTATCAATTCCTTTCAGTTGCCCATTTTTTATATACATTAAGTTTATTGGTCCATTTTATTACACAATATGATGACATTCATCATTGGGATTTTGTATCTTTACATGCTGTATCATGGTTTTTATTTTTTTCCTCATTCCCTTGCCCTCCCTTCGACCCCTTCTCCCCTCCCCATTTACAGACTCAATTTTACAAGACATATTGCTACTACTGTTTAAACACTTTAGTGAAATTGAAAGGGAAGCAATACTCTCAAATTCATTCCTGGAAGCAAGCATCACCCTGATCCCAAAGGCAGAGAAGGATTCAACCAAAAAAGAGAACTATAGGCCAATATCCCTAATGAACAAAGATGCAAAAATCCTCAACAAGATACTGGAAAACAGAATGCAGAAGATCAGACACCCTGACCAAGTGGGATTCTTCTGAGGGATGCAGGTATGGTACAACATATGCAAATCAATAAATGTAATACACTATAGTAACAGAATTAAGGACAAAAACATACGATCATCTCAATAGATGCAGAAAAAGCACTTGACAGCATTCAAAATACATTCATGATCTGCAAAGAGAAAAGCTACTCCTGTGTTTTTGGGGGGTTCCAGTCACATGGAATATTGTTTTCCTCCCTTTAATTTTCAGTCTATGAGTTTCTTTCTGAATTAAGTGTTTCTTGTAT